ATGCCCTATAATTTGCATGAAACTTGAGGGAAATATAGATAGATATATGAAATATGTATTATTTATGGCAAATGTTTGTATGTGCAAAGGATTTTTCAAATGATATGAAAATAACTACAAACCATACATTAGCCCTGAAAAAGAGAATGGATATATATGTACTGGTCTGTATCTACAGATTTAGAGGGTTCTTGTATGTTTAAACTCTAGAACCCCTCCTAATTTATCGATCTCTAAATGCAAGTTTTGCATTTTGCTTCAGACTGATGTGTCAAGGATTAGAATATTAGGAGGCTTTTTTTATGTTTAAAGATACAAATACCCTAAATCTATGTAAACGATGTTTCAGTGGAATAAAAAATTGATACGGGGCATGATAAGCACTCATACATTGTGATATTTTAAACCTTATGTTGTATCGTAAGTATAGATTCTATGAATCATGTATGTATATCAAATATGTACTTAATATACAATTGGGTACTTTTGATCCATTTTTTAAGTATGTTTTGTGCATGTATTTATTCACATACACTTGTTAACTGGATTGCTTACATTTACAGATTTACTATAGGATAAAGTACATGAATCCCTCTCTTTCTCTCTCTTACACACACACACAGGCTCTGCAGCAACATATGCCATATGTATTGGAACCTTTACAAGTAAAGCTAGTGGCTGAAATTTAGAATTTGTGGGTAACAGAGACCTAGGAGAAAGAGCTCTATTTTTCCATTGGACAGATAGGAACAGGTTGACGGTGTAGTGAACATGTGGAGCCTTTATGGGCCACAAGGAAGTATCCTAGGTTGTCTAGGAGCAAACCAATCCAAATTTGTAGTTGTTCTTTTCATGTTTTTATCTCTAGCAAACTTGAGCCCAGATCTTCCAACCTAGCCCTTTGAATAGGAATGGCAACAGGCCCCGAAGTCATGATACTTTGCCATACCCGCCCCGTCCTCAGTGACGGGGCATCCATTTCTCATCGGGGATGGGAAATCTCTGAAATTTTCTCGTTTTAAGGCAATTATTTAAAAATTATCTATTTTATGGACAATTTATACATAGGATATTGGAATTTGGGGGTATTTTAGAATTGAAGTATAATACTTGGGTAATTCAAAAATAAAATTATGGGATCCTAGGATTTTAAAAATAAAAAAAAAACTTAGAGATATTTTAAATATCAATATTAAACCTAGAGATATTTTACTAATTTACGTTTGGGTTCGGGGAATTATATACAAAATCCGTCCCAACCCCGTATCCGGTTCGGAAAAAAATTATTTTCCGGGGAAAATTGCCATCCCTACCTTTGAACTTTGTACTGTGCCTGTCGGTGCCCATATTACCTCCTCTCATCCATGTTAGGTTCTTGGAGCTTGTACTTAGATAACCCACTTCTGCATTAGCCTTCTAACACAATACAACTAGTTATTGTCCTTATCAGGCGCGTCCATCAGGACCATCACCAAGCTTCCAATGCGTGTTTTATCCAGGATGCTCCATGTCCTCTTCTTCATTCTCGACTAACTTTTCAGAGAATGTCATCCAAAATGGCCAAAAGGAAAACTAGATCTAGAGCCCTTCTACTAAATTATTAGGTAAACCTTGGAACATCCCAATAGACTCTCGATAAAGGTTTGGACTGTAGAGGTGATCCACATAAGTTGAGCTGTATGAGTTCCATTTTTGTTATTTTTTCTCTGTATTAAAAATCCCTATTCTCCATGCTTTCAGGGTAAAGGAGTAATTGGGCTTAAAATTTCACAAAATGGGAGGAGGCTGATATGTCAAACATGATCCCTTTAAGCCACCACCCACCAGATCAATTGTCATTCTCATACATGATAGAACAAACTTTTTGCCCGAACTTAAAGTGACTTATCATACTACTTTGCTTTGTGAGAGATCAAACTCTCAGATCAGTTGTAAGAGGACCACTTTGAATTTCTCTCATTCCAATTCCCACAAATCACATAATCTGATACATCCATAGTACCAGACTTGTCACGTTTAGATAAAAAAATAGACAAGTTTAATGAAAGACACAATCGAGCTATCTGAATCACTGTAAGCTTTTCAGAATTGTAATGTTCATCAAAATCTCTAGCAAGGTAGACGCAGACGTGGACTCCGTTAAATTTGAGTGGTCCAACTGCCACGAAGTGTTCCGTGTGCGCAGGCACAGGAAGAATAAACCCTGCAAGGGGGATGGAATCATGGCTCTAATTGCCAATAGAGGCATCCCAGTTTACTTTGCAGTTACTGGTTGTTTACCTGTCCCAGTTCTTGACGAAGCATGTTCACCAATCACCATTCGTGTCAAACATCATCAAACCACGGCGGCATTTGTCCTCCAGCTACAAAGCCCAAACAAATTACTAATATTCGTACCCATTTGAATTTTATCTTGGCTTCATCTCAATTAATACAGGAAGCTATCAATTGAAAAGTCCACTCTAATCTACCCTTAGGTATGCATACAGAGCAGATCCATGCCGTACTAAAAACTATTATTGACTCCAATAGTGCGCAACACATTCAAAGAGAAATCAAAATTGTATAAAATAAAGCAGGTAGAATAGAAAAAAAACAATGGTTTATCTAGCCTTTCTCCAACAATGGAACAAACAGGACTGAACAGTTTAAGAGGAGCCTTTTGCTCTCTTATCATGAAAATGGAAGCAAAATTACTTTAAGCAAATTTTGTTTTCATGTTTTCAATTTAAACTGGTGAATTTTCTGAATGTCACTAATCCAAGAGCTTGAGTAAAATGTTTCTATGGGTGATAACAACCTCTTGACAAATAGGCCAAGGCTATAAGAATTAGTTTGTAATGCTTCCCATCTTTCCAGTTGATGGCACAAAGGAGTAGGTAACTTCTGCATTCATTGGATCAAAAAGCCTTTATGTGGCATAAAAGCAACCGAGGCTGCATCTGACCTTTGTAAACATGGTTGTCTGCAGGTACTTTATCTTCCAATAGGTGAACTGCAATGTAAAATTATATCTTGAGGCAGCTAGCAGTATCCAGCTTCGAAGTCCTGAATCATTGAAGCAGGATGGGCATGACAGGTGACTTGTAATTTTTGTAACGCCCAAATGGTGTTGAAGGTTCAGGATTCCTGTGACAGACATTCAACAGTTAAACAAGGAAAACAAATAGAACATATGATATTGTGTATAGATTCTATTCTCTGGCCTGTCCCCCACACCCCCCCCCCCCCGAAAAAAAAAACCCAAAAAAACAGAAGGGGAAACAATCCCGTAGAGGTACAAGAGCAGCAATCTTGTAGACAGTTTGCAAGGGAAGGGATGCCGGGATATATTCTCTAACTACAGAAAAAAGACTCTTTGATAGAGTGACATATTAAAGGAGAAGTTTGATTTCTACAGATCATCATATAATTAGTGGATGACAGTGTATGGCTTCTTCTTCAGCTTCTAGAGATGTGCCATCATAAACATGGATCCCACCTTCACCAGGTTATAAAACAGAAGTCAGTGGGACCCAGGAGTGTCAAGTATTAGTGGTCTATTTAGAAAATACTCAAGCAAACATCATGTCAGTACTCAAGGCAGATTTTTGGTTTCCAGAATGAACATATGGTTCAGACAGATTCCAAGGTCCTCTAATAGGTAGAATATGAGCTCCTTAAGAGTGGAGTATCGAGGGAGACTATGGTCCACTTTACTTCTTTGCTTTGCTTTTGTGCTAGTTCTTTGGGTCACTTCTCTAGTACCTGGTTAGCCCAACATTCCCTTTTTCTGGATATTGATTGCTGTTACATCTTACGGAAAGAAAGAGAAGCAACTTATAATTAGAACCCATTCAATCTATTTATCCTTTCCATGCCTAGAAAGTAGAAACTTGCTGCCATCAGGAATGCAATGGGAAACCCATGGAGTCTAGGTTTTTACCAATACAAAACTTTCTCCTCAGAGTAACAACCTTTTCTTTTCTTTTTTTTGTTTTTTCTGTAACATAGAAATAAGCAAATTTCCAATGCAGAAGAGTAGGGCTTCTCATAATCTGAGGAACATACCAATAAACAAGGATTTGACATCAGTGGCTGGAAAAGAAAATCAGATTATTGGCTTGATCCATCATAGCAACAGTCAGTAATAGGACAGTTTTTTATCAATGTCAGTAATCAAGGAGTAAAATATCGACACGATACGCCTGATACAGGGTGTATCGTATTGGTATCAGACCAAACTGATACAGGATATGCTACAAGTGGAAACATATCCTGTCAGTCATGCGTATCGGTCTGATATGCCACCGTATCGGCATGTATCGTATAGTATTGGCCGATACACACTGATACAGAAGCGGATTGAACCTGAATTCGACAACAAAGGTGATTCATGATTAAAAATTGAACCTGGCGTCATTTGAACCCAGGTCGTCTAGTGTGGCAGTGCCCAAGAGAGCATGCAAACCTAACCACTAAGCCATCTTCTATTTCATGTCAATAAATGAAATAAATTAAAATTTAATAACATTAACGTCTACATGCAATCTAAACAAGCAAAATACACTTGTATTCAACAACTCCAACTACAAATTAGAAAAAATAATATTTAAAATTAGAATTTTATAAATCGATGGAATAAATAATTTATCAAATCCACATATATATCAAAAAATAATTTTTAATTTCATAAGTTTATACAAATAAAGAATGTTAATAATAAAATAAATATTTTAATACTTAAAATTTAAAAATTTGCACATGATATGTGTCTTAAAATTTTTATAAATTATTAATTAATATTTTAATTTGCATTAAATAACATTGCATTTATTATTTACAAAAATAAAAATATTGTTTACAAAATATTTGAGAATATAATATAAATAGAATACTTCAAATCCACTAGTCTACATTTATATAGAAAATTAATTTTTTATTTTATAAAACTTATAAAATAAAAATATTAATAATTTATGAATTTTCACATGATATGTATCTTCAAAAATTTCATAGGTTTGATATATTTTAAGTTAAGATTATTTGTTTGTATAAATTATTAATTGATATTTCAATTTACATTTTATAACAACATATTTATTGTTTACAAAAATGAAAATATTGTTTACCAAACATTTGAGAGTTAACTTTTTAGTTGATCTTTTGTTAATGTTAAAACTTAAAAATAGTAAAATAGAAAAAAATTGATATAATAATTCAAATGTAACAGTTGCATATATTTTGTGCCTTGGACTTTAATAGAAAATCAAATAATATTGGCTTTGTACATGTATTAATTTGTAAAAATCCATATAATTTGTGTCTTGGACTCTTGACTGATGCATTATCAATAAAATTGTGTAATATTTATGCATCCTGCTATATTAATTGTAATATATTTCTTCATATATACCATTAAAATGTACAATTCCTATGTATTTATACATTATTTATAGTTATTCTGACATTAAACTTATTGTTAATAATATATTTATGGAATTTGTATACATTTTCCTACCATATCCAAGCATTTCCATATTTTTCATGCGCATCCATGCATTTCCTAAGTGTATTTGTATCTGTATCCAAGTTGCCAGATACGATACCCGATACCGATACTTTCATCCTTGTCAGCAATAGGGCATTTATAGAATGTCTTTTTTTGGTTTAGATAGATTAATGGCCTATTTAGACAAAAATATATCAATATAGAAATGAATTTGTTCATGCCTTAAATAAGTTAACTATCATTTCATAGGAAAATGTTACATCTATTAGTATTCAAAATTTTCATTAATTTGTACTTTGAATATATCTGGTTCAAGTATCCATAAGGGGAAAGGTTGAAAATGGTGTCACCCATAAAATTAGGGGAGGTTAGATAAAGTGGTAACATGCTTTGGGGTAATAGTATGACTAACTAGTACTAATAAAGCTTAATTGAAAGTAATGTATGACCAACTAGCACTAATAAAGCTTAATTGAAAGTAATGTATGACCAACTAGTACTAATAAAGCTTAATTGAAAGTAATGTATAACGGTTACAAGGTGAGGGATGCTTCATGAAACAAAATGTTGATCAATAAAAATGAAGGAACAACTTCATGAAATGAGGTTAACAGTTGATCAAAAAATGACGAAATACACTATAACGAGTGTATTAAAAAAATAGGAGTTGCACCAATAAGGGAAAGTCAACTGAAATGGTCTGGCTATGTGAAAAGAAGACTAGTGCCAAAGTGAACAGAGACTATCTATCTATCAAAAGAAAAAAAAATGAAAAAAAGTTTTAAGTTATTTACAAAGCTAAGAGTAGACCTAAGATCTCAACACAAATCACCAAAGGCCAACAATCACCTAGGACAAACCTTCACCAATCCCAACCAGTACAGTCACCAACTTACCATCATATACCTGAGACTTTCATAAGAGCCAAGACCCAACCATTTAATGAAGATAGTTCATCCCTTGTATCATTATGATGTGATTATAATGATACAGGGGACTTTCACTAGTGAAGACTGGATTATTAAATCACTGAAGGCTCCAGGCAAATTCCTCTCCACCTAGAAAGAACAGTTGCAAACTCTTGGCAACTTATACTTCCATATCAACCACCCCATTTAAATCCAATTTTCTTTCTACTGGAGAAACTTCCTGTATCAAGAATGAGTTCAGAATCATGATGCTCCCTCCTACTCTCCATGATTCTGACTTCACCAAAACCACACTCTTAGTATCTTCAGAAACCTTGATGCTTAAACAGGTCCCATGTTTCAAACCTTGACATCTATCTCCTACCTTAGTAAATTAATTTTCCCCTACTGAAGGCAGAACCTCACCATTGTCATGAGACAAAGCATCTATCTGCTCTTTTTCTAGATACCTCTTGGTCTTTCTCCATAACCCTTTCCAATCTTTCTTTTGGACCCCCAACCAAGATTGTATCTAAAGATGCTCTCCATATGATTTGATGGAAAACCACCAACTAGCAGCTTAGGCAAGTGGCTACACCTCTTCACACCATCCCTCTTGGTCTTGTACACCCTTTTAAAACTCTCAGACCTCTCCACAAGCTGCCTCTCAACCGAGATAAGACTATAGTGACATGAATCAGTCTAACATTCTTGGATCTCTTAAATCTTTTCACTGAACTTTCTCTTCCTTTGCAATAGAATCTTCTATAATCGAAGACATAATCTTTTAATACAAGTAAGAAAAAAAGAAATTTTCATTAAAATAAAATAAAATAGACTACAATCTGGATAGGTGATAAGGTTAGCACTTAATGACAATAAACAGAACAAGAACAATACAATTTCAAATCTCCAATCCACAATTTTGAAACCCCACCACCTCCCATAAGCTTTCTCCTAGATCCTCTCTCTTGAGCTGAGAGAACTCTGGCAATATCAAAACCCAATCTGCAACAGATTTGCCAACAGTCGCCACCAGTTTATCCAGCTTCCATTCCTTCTCTTCAAAGATTCTTCTATTCCTTTCTTTCTAAATTTTCTAGCAGATCCAAATGGAAGACAACCCTAAAGAGCTGCCCAATTTACAAAGGGAACAAAAGCTTTCAAGTACATAGGCCACCCAGTTTCTTTTTCACTGCAGCAGTACAGCTTAGCCCAAAATAAGGTTGGTCTATCCACCCCCTGTTTTGCTCAAGCATCTGCCATTCCGTTTGCTGTTCTTCCTACCCATCCGAATTCTGCATTAACCTTTCTTGCAAGATGATCAATCTCCCTGAACGTAAATCTGTATTTCCAGGGTGCTGACTGTATATTCTTTTCCCAAGAAATCACCAAAAGAGCATCTCCTTCCACTTCCAGATCTCTAACTTCTAGTTAGAAAGCTATTTTTAAACCTTACAGCAGGGCCATAATTTCAGCCAAAACTGAGTCTCCAAAGCCTACTGGTCCTGAGAAGAGAGCCTTTACTACTACTTGATGGTTTCTGATAACTCCCCCTATGCCTGCCCTTCCCGGATTGCCGAAGAAACTACCTCCAAAATTTAACTTTAGCTTATTTACCTCTGGTGGTTTCCAATCCATTCTCGCTACTTCTTTATGCATGTTTATCTGTACCATTTCAGTCCAGTTCTATAATATGTCATTTGTAGAAACGTCTCTAAAGAGGTCTAATGTTTTCACCTGGTGTGTTGATCTAACTTTTATAGATTCAATCACTTCCTCTTTAGATCTTATCTTTTCATTGAAGATCCGGTTATTTCTTTCCTCCCAGATAGTCCAGACCAAGGCTGCCCTTACTGTCTTCAACAAACATCTTCCCCTTTCTTTTCTGTTGCCTCAAGAAGTTAGGATTGAATAAACTAACCACATCTTGCAAGGGTTCCCATTTGCAACCAAAGAGAGAACAGAAAAAGTCTCAAATGCAAGACACAAAAGAGCAAGAGATTAGTGAGGAAGGGTCTCACCACAAGCCTTACAATGCACATGTGAAGAGAGAGTCACTTATTTGACCTTTTTTGTAGCACATCACAGGTGTTGACTTTTTCCAAGGAATACTTCCCAGCAAAGAGTTCGAACTTTGGGAGGAATTGGTTTGCACCAGATTTCTCTCAATGAGAAATTTACCCACAAAGAGCCTGAGTGAGTGAGTATGTTGAAAAAAGGCCATTTGGGGAAGCCAAACCTTGCCATCTAGAGAGTTTTGGTCCAGAAACACCTTTTCCAACAAAGAAAGTAGCAGGATAAGTGAATCATACTCATTATCCCTCAAACCCCTTTTGAAGCCAAAATCCTAGTTTAAACCAGAGTCTGATGGCACCCCAAATCTAGAAACAAGTTCTGCCTTGAGGTTTGATAAAGAAAAGAGTCTAGGGAATTCTAGGTTAAGGGGGGTATCCCCAATCCAAAGGTCCTCCCAAAATAAGACTCGATCTCCATACTCCACCGTCCAACCAGATAAAATTAAGATTGGTAATACCTCTTAGATTGCCTTCCATGGGGAGTTTGAGGTTGCATGAGGCGTTAGCTTTGCATCCCAGCCATTGTCCACCACACCGTGAATGATTTCAAAGCCTATCTCCTTCTAAGGGGAATCTCCAAAGTCATTTTCCTAGAAGAGCTGTGTTCCGTTTAACCAAGTTCTCAATACCTAGTCCTCCTTGCTCCTTTGATTTACATATCTGCTCCCATTTGACCAAATGATCTTTCTTTTCATCTCTTGGTTCCCACAAGAAATCCTTCATCAATTTTTCTTAGCTGTCTTGTTATTTTCACTGGGATACTGAAGGTTGAATAACAGGATTTAACAGTAAACTTTCCATTTGAGCATTCTTTCCACCATAACTCATCCCTAAATTGGGTTGAGATCTTCACCCTTTCCAACTTCTCCAAAAGATTTAAACACTCTTCTATTTCCCTGTCAAGGAGTGGCCTTCTGAATCTTGGACACCATACAATCTGCTCCCTAATTCTTTCATAACAGATTAGAATATTCACTCCTGGTTCCGACAGCCTGAGTGATCTTGGGCAAACCTCACACAATCTTCCCACCCCACTCGAATCATCCTCCCAGAATCTTATTTTAGCCCCATCCCCAACTTCAAAGCTTGTTAGAGTTCTGAACTCCTGATCAGTGTTTTAAAAGCGCAAGGCACAGGGGTCAATTTGTGCCTGAGGTGCAAGGCGCAAGGCGAGGCGTGCGCCTTTTTAAGAAAGGCGCAAAAATTAAAAAAAAGGTCAAAATTCAAAAAGAATCATAAAATTATAAAACATAATATTAATAAAAATATAAACTTAAATTTTAAAATAAATGTTTTAAAAAACCTATTATCTAAAATTAAAATACATAAACATAATATGTAAAGCATATTCAAATGAGAATTTAAAAATGAAATCAAACATATAAAACATTTTCAAGCATATAAAACCCACAATCTCTTTTTTTCTCAATTACATTACTTCAAGTAGCTAAAGTGACATATTACATTCCTAATTCTACGAGCCACCTTTGTGACATGCCCCTCGAGGCAAGCCCAAACAAGTCCATGTTAGGGTCTTAAATTCTTAGTTTCCACACAAAAAATAATGAGTTTATAGTTTTAATTGCTTCCTAAGAAGATAGTTTATTAGGATGAATGAATGGACAATATTACCAAATAGGGGGTCATCAAATTTTCAAAAGGCGGACGCCTGGGCTGAGGCGCAAGGTGCACCAGGCGCACGCCTAGGCACACCAGGTGTGCGCCTTTTGAAAGGGCTGCGCCTAGGACCTAGGCGAGGCGTCTACCCTACAATGCGCCTCGCCTGTGCGCCTAGGCGCACCCTTTTAAATCACTGCTCCTGATTAAAGTTCAGAATTCTTTTCCAAACACTCATCCCATATGAAGAGCTAACTTCCCTTGATTCCTAACCAAATCTCATCACCCCATATCTGCTAACCACCACCCTCCTCTATAAAGAGTTTTCCTTGTTATTCAACCCAAATCTCCATAACCATTTCCCAAGTAGGGCTTTGTTAAATAATCTCACCCTTCTAAACCCCAAACCCTCTCCCTCTTTGGGTCTACACACCTTATCCTAGTTAACTAGATGGAGCTTTTTACCCCACACTCCCCCACCCCTTTCCATAAGAAATCCCTCTGGATCTTTTCCATTCTCTCTGCAATTTTGGTTGAACCCTTAGCAAGGACAACTAATATAGTAATATGTAGGCAGACTTGATAACACACTTGTTACAAGGGTTACCTGTCCCCCCAAGGATAAGTATCTCGCTTTCCACCCATCCAGCCTCCTCTCTACTCTTTCAATGACTTGACTTCCAGATTGTAATGGAAGCAGAATTGCCCCCAACCAGCAATCCCACATAGTAAAGTGGGAGTTCCACGATACGCTGGTAGGGGCATATTGGCCTGTATCTTGGCTCACCTTTTATTTATTTATTTTTTTAGTTTTTCTTTCAAACTGGTTCAGAGGGGTCGGTTTAAGGCCTGTCTACCCCCTGAACCAGGTCAGACCCTGAAACGCCCCCTGTAGGGGTGTATCAGGAAGCCACCGATACGATACGTATCGGCTAATATGGCCCGATACATATAAAAAATTTGAACCTTGCCAACCCCTATCAGGACACTATTAGATAAATTAATTTTCAAACCTGTCAACAGCTCAAAGTTAGCAAGAATTGCCCTCAGATTCAGCACCTGATTCACAGAGGCAATGAGAAATAACAAGCTCCCCCATCCCCACCCTGTCAATCAGCCCCAGCTGCATATTTCTTTCCAACAACAGATTCAACACCTCCATAATTAACACAAAGAGGAGTGGGGAGATTGGATCCCACTGTCTCAAAACTCTAGAAGATTGAAAAATTTTTGAAAATACACCATTCAAAAGGATTGAATATGAAACTGTTGACACACATGCAAATATCCAGCTCCTCCACCTCTCTGGAAACCTCATCAACCTTTGAATTTCCTCTAAGAAACACCATTCCATCATAGGCCTTTTCAATTTCAATTTTACACACCTGCTCTCCCACTTCTAATCTAGAATCAATACATTCACTAGCCACCAAAACTCCATCTAATATGTAATATGTGCTGATTAGATAAAATTTTAAGTTCTTCCTTATTGGTTCAGGTTTTTAAGTCTTTCAGGGTTCAATACAGCATTTAGCAATGTTTGTGTTGATTAAACCCCAATAAATAAGAAATTAGTATATAAACACACAAAATGATTATTTTAGTTTAATAATGTCTATTTTATAATTATAATCTCAAAAAAGAATGAATAAAAAAGTATTTTATAGTAGGAAGCAGAAAACTGCTTGGTGATTAGGCAAGGCGAGCCTCAAAGGGCGCCTTGTCGCCTAGGCGACGCCTTGACAACTATGGTACACCCTTTTGAAATTCTTACACAGACCTCCCAAAAAACTGCTTTTCAATTGAGAGAGGACTTCAGTGACATGAATCAGCTGAATATTATTGGAGCTCTTAAATCTTTTCACTGAACTGATTTTCTCCTCCTTCACTACAGAATCTTCTAAAATCAAAGACATAATCTCTTCAATACTACTTTTTGAGGTAAAGCCCTGACTTGGCTTTATAAAATCAAAGATGTACTCTCTTAATGTCCTTCTTTCAATGTTGTCCTTTTCTTTTTCTTCATTTTCGTTAACTTTTTTAACACATAGTTGATCCTATACCTTTTCCTTCTTTTATACCCTCAACATAGGATGTACCTTGCACGCTATCTCCTGAATGGCATGTTTGTACTTGCCCATGTGCATACATTGTTATAGGGTATTGTAAGAGTATCTAGTTGATGCCTAATATAGGATAAGGGAGGCACCATAATGGGCTCAACCTGTTCTTTGGCCTGTTCATTTAAAATTTCCCTAGGGTTCTTACTTTATGATAAGAAAAGGCAGATAATGTTGTTGGTGATGATTAACAAATAAGCACCGGCATAGAAGGTGTTCATATATATATATATATGTGTGCGTGTGTGCACATGTATATTTATATTTGTGTATGTATATATGTATGTATGCATGCATGTATGTATTGGGAAAGGCTTAGTATATTGTATCGATATCAAAAGTATGATTCTCTGTACAAAGAGAAGCTGTACATGACATCCAATTAGGGACCCCCCAAAAAATCCACCCTCAAAAAATGATGAAGAAAAAGTATCATATTAAATTCGAAATACATTATGGACAGACAACCATCCCTTTAAAAACCCTACTGCTGCATTAATCACTCCTGATTCTGAAGCCTGGCTGCTGTTAAAAAATCCTGTGTTCAAAAATTTTTTGAAAAGGTGCTCATAATTTCAAGGTAGCTTATAGCTTTTTTTTTTTTTGAAAAGCTAAAGTATTGTATTAATATTAACAAAAAAAATTCTAGGTAGTTTATAGCACCATTACACCAATGCATATACTTAAATAGCAACCATATGAATGTGGAGATCACTCTAGCTTCTAATTTTATATTCTCTTTGTGCCCTTTCTATAGCTCACAAAAGACTTTAAGGATTCAAAGTCACTGCATGCAATACCCTGCAGCCCAGCACAAGCATCTCCATACATGTAAAATTATATTGCTTACACCATTTTATTCTTTAACTAAAGGTGATAAACTGATAACGAGCATACCTTTTAGAGCCCAGCGTTCTTGAATCATACTTCGAACACAAAATGGAAGAAGACTGCAACTCATGACTTCAATATATTGATAAATGGAGCCATGCTATAGCCAAACTGAAATTCATGATAATCAGGGAGAAAGCATACTGGCCAACTGAAACTCATAAAAAAAGAACAGGTATAATCAATTTCAGCACAAAAAGCACCTAATAAATAAGGGCTTACAAGGCAGCAGCAAGAATGCATGCTACATATCAGGGAACTCACTGCCTAAACAATTTGATTCAGGGAGCCAACTCCATGGACAAATATCATTTAAGGTTCTAAGCTGGCTTGGAAGAGAAATGTTCTGCAAAATGAACAGTTACATTACAAGTCAATTATTAGGAATGGCAACTCATGATAACCCACAAAAGTATTTTTTATCAACTTGACAAGCAGCATCTTTGTGATCTTATTCTTTTTTCTCTAGTAAATATGTTTCTTTTCGGTAGCTTTACTAACATCATCACCACCATCATCATCCAAGCCTCATCCCAACTATATGGGTTGCAATTTTATTTTACTAAGAATAGAATGATATTTAAACATCCCGAGATAGAATACAGAAATCAAAATCATTTATGTAGTTTTAACATTCAACAGTAACTTAAAAGTCACTGGTCTTACCACTACAGAATATATAACCACCTATCAAGTTCAGGAAACTGCATATGCATACATGGTTCCTGCAGCACAGAAATAATGACTATCAAGTATTTCATCTAACAAAACAAGAAGTGGTGTGCATCTGGGAAAAAATAGTTGAAATTTAGTATAAAAGAACAAAAAAGGAAAGAGATAAAAAATACAAATACAAGGCCAATACAGTTTTTTTTTCTTTTTTTTGCAATTTTATGAGAAGACGAAAATAATGATACTGCTAGTCCAATAGCATAGGAAATTACAACACGCATGGTGTACACAAAAAGAAAAAGAAATGTCCGGCCATGACAGGTTCCCATGGCGAAGAAGAATGATAGTAGATTTTTTTTTTCCAATTTACTGTTCCTAACAGGCTAACACCAAGAATTCCATCTTGCTAGGCCATTGACTATGGTATTCAGCCCCTAAAATTCCATCTTAAGAAAGGAAAATAAGAAATAAAAGCTAACCCCAAGAAAACCAATATACTTTTACTGACATTGCTTCATGATATTGTGTTTTTGGCATTATGTTCTGTTGTTGCCACTTGCCAGGTCTTCTAAAGCCTACACTTGGTCACAGGGGTATATGACATGGCATCCCAGACTATCCATCAGATGAGGAATCCTCTAGGTGAACCATTTTTGTCTGGATTAACCACTTGCATCACATTGTCCATGTCTGCAACATTCCTGTTCATTCATTTTATTTCACCCTAAAAATAATAATTCTTAATGGTTATTTTAATGACCGAGGAAATTTGACTTGTTTTATTATCACAAGGCCATTGAGTCTAAACTTGCATGACAGAAGCAAGGTGACAAGAAGAAGCATGTTAATTTGGGCTGCAACCTCAGCTTTTTTGTGTTGAAGTCCTTTCTTCCTATAATTTTATTTATGGAATAAAATGGTGTAGAAAAATTTCAGCCATGTCATGAGAAGGTGAAGAAACTACAGATGAAAACAAAAACACCTCACCTTGTCCAAGAATTAGAATTGCGTTTGCAGCAAGAAGAGCAATATCCTGAATCTTTTCACTTGCAAATATTGCCTGAATGGCTAATAGATTAAACCGAGAAAATGTCAGTAACATAAGATGGATGCTGGAAACAAAAGAATAAACTCAATAAGAATGAGAATGTCATTGATAGGAAGAAAACAAAAATAAATGTTTTACAAAGTAGCCTTCATGATATAACTTCATAAATACCAAATAGGTTATAGATATACAAATGCATCTTAAGCAACCTCAAAGAAGTCTGAAAAGAAAAAATAATGGTTGGCTTCATCCAAAGCCAATAAGCAACTTTTTATATGCCAATATCTCACATATAAATGCTTAACTCAGCATAACAATAGAATGTACAAACCTGAGATTTGTATTGGCTTTTCTATGCCATCAGCTTTCCCATTCTCATTGATAGGGATGTCCATGTCAGAAACTGATATAATGTGTACAGAATGGTAACCATCTGATACCCAGACAATTTGTGTTCCTACAAAATGATAACAACTATTTTTAAACTTGAAACCATCTGAGAAGATTCTGATAAAATAAATAACAGTAGCATACTCATGGAAATATCAGGAAGCACAGCCAGCATTTGCACTTTCATGGTATGATTGAAATGCTTCATGTGACCATTGATTTCTGATCCAAGGACATTGTATAGGATCAAGAGGTGTAAATCTCCAGCTGAATCCAAAACTAAGAACTTTTTTGAGGACAAAGCATGGATTGAGACAGCTTTTAGTGACAGCAATGCAACTGTCATGGGTTGTGGACTTTGGACCTCCAAACTCTTAAATGCTATAAAGCATGAGCCTCCTTCACATGCATCTTGTCTCAGTTTCAAGGTCCTAGTCTTCTCTGCAAGTTAACAAGGAAAAATAAGCTATCTACCAAATGCCAAAATGAACATTTCCCAACATCGAGACAATTGGATTTAAATTTTAGGGATAGAGAACCAAGTTCTTTTTTTTTAGATCATAAGACACCAAGTTTTGAAAGCACAGAAATGAATTTTCTTCACATAAAAAAGTGCTGCAAGCACAAAAGAACAATAAAAGATGAAACAAACTAGTGATGCCATTTGAATGTAGGATAACAGTGGCAATATGTAATCCAATGTTTTTTTATCGATGAATCATCTTTATTAAATTATTTAAAGAATCGGTATTACAAATCTACCGATAGGTGCTATTGACAATACAATTTGTGCCCTAGCAGGCTAGCACCCCAGAGTTCATTTTAGCTTTGCCCCTAATCTGACTCATGGTTGGCATTTAGAGATAGTCTTACATTTTCTTTTACCAATGTTTCCAAGTTAAAGTCTCTCCAAATTTCTTATCAAGTAAGAAACTACTAGTTGTTGTGCATCTTACTGTCTTCTTGACACCAGGTTCAACCATTTCAACTATCACAAATGGTGTTTTCTATTTTCTCTACTTCTATTGCTACATCTAGCAAGTGGTTAGCATGAGAAATTGGATTAAAGACACCACTTGCTAGAACTAATTCTGATAAGCAATATGTAGAATCTTGAACATCCTGGAGAATAAAGCCCATAGGAGAATGGTAACTTGCAGCCTACAATAGTAATTTGAAATCCACAAAGACCATGGAGCAATCACTAGTTACTGGTTCCCAAACTTAACAGCCATTGTAAGCTTATAGATTAGTGGCAAAGAAAGGGACTTCTGCACTTGTTCATTCAATTAACTTTGCATTTTCAGTTAACCAAGCATTTTTCTTTCATGGCAGCATCTAAAAGCATCTGAAAAAAAAAAAACTCTAAAAACATTATTAAAAATGAATTAAAAGTTGACCTAAAAATACATGCTATGCATGAAATAAGTGATGTATTTTGTACTTTGAATACATTTACATTTAAAGAGGCTGGTGAGTGTACAGAAATCCATAAAAGATGAGGGGGTTCTGTTTAGGCCAATTTGCTTAGAGAAGTGTATTAAGCATGTTGAGGAAATTTACTGTCGTCAATTGAAAGAAAGATCTTTCCTGGTTGGGGACAGAAGATAACAGAAATAAGATCTTGTTGCCGCCGTTGCTACTGAAATGGAGAAGAAAGATATACTTGCTACAAGTTCAGACACATGCACAGTGGACCACAGGAGCATGTTCTCTATCATCCACAATTCCACATAAAGCAGTGGAATCATCTTTGGATCCAGTGATGCCTAGGTATATCAAAGGCCCAAATTGATTTTCATGGGATGGAAGAAACCCTCACATAAGGAGAGATTTATATTTTTTGTTACATCCTTGTTTCTCATTCTTTCCATGTTATCTCTATTCCAACCTTCTCTTCCCAATTCTGTTGCATATCTGTTTCATATGCATTTTGTTCCCAGTGCCCTAAAAGCCAGGAAAAAATTTAGATTTTTCAAAGATCCACACAAAACCTTATTTCTTGTTTTATATGGAGCTTATAAAGGTCTTTCCGTGACTAAGGAAATAACATTTATGGTGCATCACTTGGGTAAATGACATGATAATTGCAATCATGTTTATGAACTTCATAAAAAGACCATTACACAATGTTGGTCCTGGCTATTTGGGGCCATGGGAGGGGTGGACCGGATAAAGTCATACAGAACAACCTTTGACATTTTGTTTATGAGCTTCATCCCTATGGCAACATTGATCACCTGGTGTTTTGATGCCAGTTGTTCTCTGTCTTGTTAAATAGAGTTTCTGATTATGCTAATTCACATATAGAGAACTATGGAATATTTGACTTTTAATATGTAGGAGAGATTGCGGATGGATAATTAGTCGATAGATAAGAAGAAAACCAACTGGGTCATTCCAGAATAAACCCATATGGATAGGAACTACAGGTGATGGGAAAGAAATAGAATTTCTTGTTGCAGATAAACTTGCAGTCCAATCAGTAGTAGTTTAATTATTGATAAAGAAATCAGCAATAGTTTAATGCTATAACTTGAATGTACAAAATGGTATTTCTTCCACCCAGCAATAAACATAAATAAGCAAATAAGAAGTAATGAATAGGGTTTATGGACTTACCAGAAACACGATGAACCTCAGTCTTTATGGTGTAACCATTAGCAAAGATCTCGGAAGTCCCTTCCAGTCCAGCAATTTTACCATTCCGATCACTGATCCCATGCTTGGAGTATGTCACCGAAGTACTAGATAAATCGTTGCTTCCGTTCGTAGTCTGAATCATCTCATTCTGTAAATGCAGTTCCCCAGTCTTCAGCACATCACCATTCAAACCACCACTTTGGTAGTGTTCTCTTCTCCTGGCCAATTCCCGCTGTCTACTAGGCCGGCCTTTCACTAGCGGCCTCAATGGGAAAACCCGAACCCCATTATTCTCCCCCAGAAGTAAAAACCCAAATGAAACAGTAATAGAACATATCGGCATGGTACAATCAATAATAGCACACTTCATCAAGTTCACGCCCAACCCATCATCCGCATCACCCACAGTTTTCGCGGCAAAAACCCAAATTTTACGAGCAGAGATCGAATGCAAAGCAAAAACATTCACAGAACCAGAGAGCTTAACGGAAAACCCATGTGACAGATCAACGACAACCCCCAATCTATGACCACAATCCAGACTCTTTTGAGTGCAATTCACTCGAGCTTTGGCGAATCTCTGGTTCTTTCCAAGGATCCAGAAGCGGAGAAGAATTGAAGAGCCACCGTTATGAGGTCCAGCGACGACGAACAGGACGCGGCCGTCGGTGGAATTAGGGTTCGGAAGGAGGCGTAGGAAGCAGGCGGAGGTGGAGTTTGGAGGAATTAGGGTTTGATGAGGAAAAGAAAAAGAAAGAGAGGGAGAGAAGAGAGAGGGAGAAGAAGTGAGTAGAATAGAGGAATCAGAGTGCATCAAAGCTAGAGAGTTGGAGAGAGGCTCGAAGAGAAGAGAGGTTACCTCCAATGAGGGGTCAGAGTTGGGAAGTTTGAGTTTGCAAGCCAACGTAACCATCACCACCCGCTAAAACATTCAAGATTCAACCCAGACCAACCTAAACCATCTCTCCTCTCTCTCTCTCTCTTGTGTTCGTGAATTTTCCTCAGTGGAGATGATCGGAACTCGGAAGGGATCTACGAGCTCCACACAGTTGACGAGTCTTGTTTGTATGCCCGTATACGGGCCAACGCCCAACGGGGTGGTGGTCTTTTCTATGTTCCCGTAACGGGTGACGACAAACTTTGGCTGAATTGCAGCTGAAGTGGCTGAATACGAGGGCAGAGTAAGAAAAAACGAAAACAACTGCTCTGTCAGAAAGAACAACTGCTCTGTCAGAAAGAACAATACGGTTTTACTGACGTGGCAGTTGTTTTTGGTCTAGAAAACCACTATAGGCCCGTTTGATTCACGGGACTAGGGGTTTGGAATGAGAAATAGAAGGTAATTTGAATTCCAACAGTTTAATTGAAATTCTATTGGTGGAATGGCACTCTTCCGATCCCATTTATGGGAATTGCCATTTTCTCTCTTCCCTTTGGGAATAAAATTTCATTTCAACTGATTTTAATTCCTATTCAATTCTTATCTAAACCAAACAGATTATTAGAATAATCATTCTCATTCCAATTCCACTTCTGATTCCATTCCATTCCTATTCCGATAATGAGTCAAATGAGCCCCACATCATCAACGTTGAAAAACACCCCAAAGTCATTGGCTCAGCCACTTCAGCTGTTATGAATCTCATGTTACACATCTTAATTACATCTATCTAATCTAAACAATTTTAAAGCCTTAAATTTAACTTTACTTTAGGGCCAGCCTAGATGGGCCCATCTTAATTTTTTTCTTAAATAAAAACATAAATAGAGAAATTTAAGCAATTTAGGGTGGTCCGGACTCTGGAAACTCTCATTTTTATGGACTTATTTTTTGTAATTTTGCAAAAATAAAGACAGCCACCAACTATGCTCCTAGTTTATGTATACCCGCTTTAGTGCTTTACCATTCAGCAGGAACCGGATAGGCTGGACTATGGAGACAAGTCAGTGTTGCATAGACCTAACGTTTAGGTCTCCCCCCCCACACCCCACACACACACACAGTCCCCATGTGTATTGAATAATATGACTTTGTTCAGCCGGCTGTCCATGCCGACAAGGAAAATTTTAGCATAGCTTGAGCTGTCAACAGTGGAGTAGGATTAGTTTTCTGGAATTAATGATAACTCTATGATAAAATACATGGAACTATTAAATTGCCAACAGTGATCTCCTCTCATTATATGTGATGTGAGTCCGAATCACCTACCAGCAACAGATTAAATCCCAACAACTTACCAACATCATCTTTAATACATGGCGAGTCCCAGTTTTATAGTGAGGTGTGCAGTGTTAGATCAAATTGGTAGGGTGTTGGAATATACTTTGTTGGTAAGAGATCCCAATTGAATTCAATGTATGTTAAAATCTTTGTTGTAAGATCGGGTTTGGTCCCAACAGCCATTTCATTTGTACAGTGAGAACATCTTACCATGAAGGACGATGGAAATGTTTCTGATGTATGATTACAATGGCTGTGGACATGATCTATGTCCACACATCTCACACATGGTGGGTCCCAGTATATGAGATGCGGGGACACAGATTGTGTTGTAAGTGCGTTGGAACAGTTTTTTGATGGGAGAGATCTCAATTTGTGACAATATCAAATGCACTTCTGGATGAATGAACATGTTACACAAGGAGAGAAACCAGATGGCATTGAGGCATGCTCCCAATGCATGGTTGGGATGTGCTGTGAGGCTTGCTCTGTGGGAGCCAATTCAAAATTCCTGTTAACAGGCTGTCAAACATGGACAACCAAAATTTTCTTAACTAAGAATATATTCATGACTTCACCAAAGCAAATGTTTGTGAGATGACCACAGAATCTAATCCTGTTACGCACATGTAAGAGTAAGACTCTGTTCCACAATTTATTATCATCCATGCGAGAGATGTTTACAATTTGCTGTCTGATGCACATAATGTGGCCAGCGTTTTGTGTTCAGCAGATCCGAGTTGTATGTTCCTTTATCTTGGTCAATGGTGTGAAGAATCGGCTGTCTGACATTATTAGCTGATCAATTTTCCTTTGATAGTGGACTCAACAGGTGAGGTTTTCATTCATGTGAACCTGGACCCTTGTATGTTTCAGGTTCTGGTACTAGTGGCAGAGGGAAAATCATATGCCTGACTTATTATGGGCCCTGGTCCCAATGTTTTTAGGCCCATGCCATCTTTGTTTGGGCTAAGTTGGGTACCCAAGTATTCAGTAACCCATTCATCCTCTTCTTTATCAACAGTGAATAGACCAGGCTTTTTGGTTGATTAATCCTGAAAAAGTAAAGCTTCTACCTGTTCAATTTTTCACTTTTTTATACCAAATTTCAATTAAAAATTCTACCAATAACTTTTCTTTCTTAATTAAGAGTCTAAATTTGAAACTGAAAATCCAATCAAAAGCAAAAGGCAGTGTTCGAGTTGAATTGCTTCAGTTGAGCTGCTTAATTAGAAGAAATTTCTATGAATGACTGAAAAATATAATTGGCTCAGGTTGCCTGGAATTTTCACAAAACATTGCTTATAAGCTTTTGGATGAGGTGGGCCTCACCTCACAAAGCCAAGAGCAGCAACATGAAAACCCTGCAAAATAAAAAGAAACAARAAGTTTGAATGTAAGAATATACTTGAGTACTTAATATATGTACTCTCACATAGAGGGTGATCATTACTAACCTGATGCAAAAGGCCCAGCATGCAGTAAATTACCAGGCCTGGGCCTAAGTTTTTGTTCAAGCCACAAACACACAAGAAGTGATTGATATAAGCCTTTCCCTTTCCCCCCCCTTTTAACAACAAAAAGGTTGCTGTCTCATGACAATCAAAATATATACAACCTAAATTAAAAAGAAAGAAAGTGAAATTTTGGGTGATATATACAGGTCAGTGAGGCTTCACTACTACTTACCTATGGACAACCCAAAGGGGTTCCCTATCTTGTTAATAGAGAGCCTTGACAAATAGTACCTATGTTGAGGGTTTTATCCTCGATAGATTATTCAACTAAGATTCAAGCACATGAGAGTGGAGAATATTGGGTGCAATTATTCGAAAAAATAAAGACGTAGTAAATTTGGAAGGATGAGTAACATGAGTCCATGATAAAATGTTTTCTTATGAGGAAATAGGCTTGTCTATTCCAACCAATTAAGCTTCAAAGTTGGAAACACAAAGAGTATTAGAAAGACAAATTTAAGAGACATATTGAGATTTGGATACGTATGAATATACCATTAAAACTCAAATAAATAAAAAAACCATCAACAACGATAAATCTAGGTTAAGATGTCTATAAATAAATTATATAAAACACATAGTATATGTGAAGTATGAATATATATATATATATATATATATATTTTAATAATCAATTATTTTTGGACTTTATTGATAAGCATGAACTAAGAAAAAATTAAGTTAAAATCTAGAACTAATGCCTTCTGGTAATTAAGACAGCTGGTCTCCCAACTTACTTGGGCTCAAATCTCCTTGACCCTTGTTTGTAGGTTTCGAATTTTGAGGTAAGAAAACTCCTAGAGGGTGTCCCTAAAGGTTTCTGTTTGTGGTTAAATTTTTGATTCATGATGTGCAAATATTGACTGTTTGACTCGTCATATAAACATGTACTTTCACTATATAGTTTTGATTGTATGATGATCATTGAGGCTCAGTTTGGAAGGAGTACAAATGCATATCTGTAGAGTGCAAAACCTTTATATTTTGTATGTATTTACACTGTATATATTAGCATTTATTCTCTTTCCAAACTGAGCCTTTGTACTCCTTCCAAATTGAGCCTGAGTAAAAAAATCATGACCGGAGAGCTTCATTGGTATGGGAAGCACACATAAATATCATGTCATGCTTACATCAGAAAACCATATTTTTTTTTGTTAGAACATGATAAATCAACATGTTCACTGTGTGTGTGTGGTGGTGGGGGNGGGGCTCTTTGTCCTGCAGTCCAGAAGGTGGGTTTAGTTTTAAATCTTATGTCTCTGTTACAGTCAAGAGGAGACCTTATCCAATTACTAATATGCTAATTAACTGGCACAAAATTTGAACATTTGTTGATTTTTTTGTTCATGAACACACATAACAAGTTCATATATGTTAACACTTTTATATACATGGGTTTTGTAGTAAAAACCAAATGTTTTCTGTTCCAAAATAGGTGGGCCCACTGTTTGCTGTTGTGGCAATTGTTTTTGTTTTGAAAAACAAAATCATACATATTTCTGAACACCCCAATTAGAAGGTGGTTCCATCGGCAAAGAGCTAGCATATAGTTTAATATCTTGGGACAAGGCATATCTGTACTATATGATGCCATGTTTTTCTTGGCCTCACGTCAAGATGACCATCCCATAATGCCATATCTTTACTACCTTAATTGGTAAACTTGTCATTGCTTTAGCTCTAAGCAACCCTTTGTATGCATACAATAGAACATATAACCCTTTGAGCTTAAGTACCTTTTTTTTTTGCATATTTAGCTTCTCAAATGAGTCCAAATTGATGAATCCAGACTGATTGAAAAAGAATTAATTCAAGTAGATTTTTTGGAAAAAATAATATTGAAGATAATTAATAAGGCTATACATATAACCAGATTATGAAATACAAGTTGATATATAGAAGCTGCATGAATTGAGTTTTCACTAGCACATAAGCATTTATTTCACCTCAGCATAGGTTGAGTTGCATCCACTAGTTTGTGGGTTGCACTTGCTTCCACTAGTTTGGGTGTTTCCTTTAACCCCTTATTACACTTTTGGGCATTAGGAAGAGTCCTAACTTGGGCCATCCGTGACCAATGTTCAGTCCTATTTTCTGCCAATCTTAATCATGTCTTATGACTCCTCAAGGTAGTACTTTTTGTCATGCAAGAAAGGAAGGTCATGAATTGGGAATGCATCTGAGAATTGACGGTTGGAATTGCAAGCTATTTCCAAGTGTTTCTCGTTACAAAGCACTTCACTTGCATGCATGAATTGTACTAACACCACCTACAGGATGTATTGCTTACTCCAATTAATGCATAGGTGAAACAATTCAAACTTTGAATTCAGCCCCATCCCCCATGAGGAAAAAAAAAATTATTCCATTACATTCCTCAAATTTCATTTTGGCTGTTTTTTTTTTTTTTTGCCATTTCTTTCAGCACCATGCTTAATAAATTCGTTTTTGAATAATTTGAGTGCATCAATTTTTTTTTTCCTCAAATGAAGATTATTATAGTCTCCGGCCCGTTGTTAGTTTTACAGACTTGCATGCAAATGGAATGAGATTTAACTTCCAATGGATCCATACGTGGTGTTTAATATTTCACATAATTTTAGTTTGATATTTGGTGTGATTAGGGCTCATTTACTTGTGTAATGGTGAAATGTCGGGTTGGTATGCATGGGAATGCGAGTTTGAATTTGAGAGTGGCCACTTTGTTCATAAAAATGCCAAAGGTTAGAACTGCATCTAGCCTATCCCTCCCAAAACTAGGGGTGAACAAATGGATAGGTTTTACCCAGAACCAATTGGAACCAACCTCAAACTGACCTTAGGTTCTCGGGTAAGGTCTGGTTCCAAATTATTGGAACTAATCCCCACCAGGTTGGTTCCGGTCTGGGGGTTTATCCTATGCAAATCGACTTGTTTAATTGGCCTTGATTTGTCTTGGTGGAATATTGTGTGTGAAGTTGTATTCTATTTTGCATTGAAATTGCATTTAATTAATTTGTGGAAATGTAAAGTTGGAGTATGGAATAGTAGTGATTATGCTAGATTGTTAATGGATTATGTGATGTTGATATATAATATATTGTTGTCCAAGGCCAAAGCTTTGAAAGGGAAAAACATAATAGCATACTATTAATTATTATCTCCTTAGAGATTAGGTGGTTCCATGGATAGATCTTAATTGGAACCACCTAGGCTAGAACCGACCCCTACCAGATAGGTTCCAGGTTCTGGCTTGGGACCCATGCTCACCCCTATCTAAGACCTCAGATGTCTAGGACCAATATTGGTAATGACCTTTTATTTGAGATGATTCATTTTGAAATTTTTGTGGCATGAAATTTAGATTCTTTTTTTTTCTAGAAATTATATATAGGTTTAATGGATGGAGATAAGAAAAGCAAGGGTTTCACTTATAATTACAAAATTACAAGATGCAGTATATATATATATATATTTAACTTTTGATTTTTTTTCATTAAGATCGAATGAAATGGAAAATTTTAGGGCAATTGAGAACCTATTGAAACTTGGAAGTTTTGCGTTATTTGACCAACCATTATGAAGAGGACCCATTAGCCAACTAGTAGTGGATTAGTACATGGGGAACCCAGGAGTGCAAATTCATGAGTCTCATTAATTTTATACCATTTGGTAGAGATGTAATGGCTAGCTAGCTGTGTAATTAACTGATAATAATATGCTTAGTACAGGATGAGTACTCATGACTGATACTTACCAAACAGCTGAATTGGATATATTTTTTTATGGCAGAAACTAAGCAAATCCCACAAGTTACCATTTCAGGAATTTGAGTACTCAAGTCATTCCAATTGATGCACATCCAAATAGATGAGAGCTCCAAGATAGAACAACCCACTGGTTAGGAAAAGATGAGCTAGGTCAGGAACAGTACCTATGAAAATGAAATAGTGGGCGGGCCACATTTTAGTTGGGCATGGATCAAATTTGTATTCAGTGGTTCAACATGAATTAATGTATGTCTCACTTAGTTTGGCTTTGTTTTTGTATTATTTTGTGGAGCTCAGGGGTTATTGGAATTGGAATCAAATGTCGTTTCTTCATATCATATGGCGCAATAAAACTCTACAAGGGTTGGGCCCCCCTCTAATGTATGTGCCACATGGATAACTTATAAGAGCTATATATCAAGAATCAACTCTCATCACGGTGGTTGCATTATGAGATGTTACTATTTCTTTTTTCTGTTTGGAACTGTTTGTGAGTAGAGACAAAGAATTAGCACATTTTTCTTTACTTTTTCCCCAATAGTTAAGGATTTCCTATTCTGTAGCCAAATTGCCCAGCATAGCAATTTAGTGGTACATCTGTGGTTTGTATATTAACCTTGAGTCAATTTTGCTACAATATTAATTGATGGAAACATAAAAAGGCCCTCCCTCTCAATTGGGTAGCCTGTGTTTGTTTCTCACTAAAATGGATGGAAACAAATTTCATGTTAAAAATCAGTGAGCTATTGTTTCTCCCTTTTACATGCAATAATAATAATAAAATCGTTTTCATGCATTTGGCTTTCAAAAACAAATATCTTTTGATTTTGATGCAAGTGGCTAGGAAAGCAAAGTTTTCATGGTGAAAGGGACAATTATATATAGCTCAAGGTATTTGGACCTGAAGAACTTTCCGTCCATTTTTACATTGAAAAGGACAAAGCCATATATATATATATATAACAGAAGAAAAAAATTGTCCAGTAGCTCAAACTTTGTTATTCCCATTGCCTTGTGATTGAATTTATTAATTAATTGAGTGTAAATGCAAAAGGAGTAGTCGACCCCATAAATTGGGTTTTGCAATAGGGGATAGCTGATCAAATTGGTAGCTAGCTAGTAGCTAGATAGCTTGTGAGTTGTGAGATCCTATATGGGTGCAATGCAGTACACAGCAACCAAAAGAGCCAGAGCACAGAGAAGAGCCATTAGATGATAGTTCTACAGGGCCTAACTATGATGGGGAAAAAAGTATAAAAATAAGGTCAACCAAACATGTGCTTGAATGGTGCAGCTAGCTAGGTTTGAATTAATCCTGTGAAGAGGCCCTAGCTAGCATTCCTGCCCAACCATGTGATCCTCCACTTTGCCCAAATCAGACGGACCACGAGAATGGACAGCACATGCGACAGGGGCTCACTGAATCATGGCTTGTTCATAGCCAGGCTGTGACCCCAATTGAACTTGGATTTGGTCGTCACCAGCCAGCCACGGAGCGACATCTGTTGAATCCTACACCATATATATGGCCTTTCTTCATGGATTTTAGTTTTACCTTAGACAACGTAACGTTTCTCTATCACTAAAGTGCGTACTAATAAATACTGTCCATAACACCATGCATCCCTATCAGACTGACTGACTGAAAGGTACGAGAGAGAGAGAGAGAGAGAGAGTATGAAGATAGAAAGATGTGGAGATAGAGAGGTAAAAGAGAAAGAAAGCGGGAGTAGAGAAAGCAGAAAAAAAAGAACCAAGGGAGGGAGGAGTGAGAGAGGGCTCGGAAACCGAGCATCTGAGCATTGAGAGCGTGTTACGGTACGCCATTCCATGCATCTCTTCCTCTCCACCTCTCCTTCTTTGACGGTCTCTTGTCTCCCCCATTCCCAAACACGCCAAAACTAATATATCAATTTCCATCCACTCCACGTGCACACCGCCACACACACACTCTCTTCTCTCTCTCTCTCTCTCTGAACCATGTTTTAATCCAAATTCTAAAGAGAAAACCCTAGCCAAACAGCTATTCTGTTTATTTATTGCCATCTCGTTCTCATTCTTCTTATCTTATTCTTCCACCCTGCAAAACCCAAAACCCCAGCATCAGCATATCCCTTTCTCTCTCTCTCTCTCTCTCTCTCTCTCTCTCTCACTTACACGAGCTCCTGCATACACATATACATACAATACCATAAGTCCATAACCATGCAAGCTCCTTCTCTTAGCCACTTCTCCTCCACAGAGACTGATCAAAGTACTTATTTAGAAGCTGAGGAAGAAGATGAAGAGTCTGTACTCCTCACTCTTCGCCCCCCTGGTCAACACATTTCCAGAGTGGGTCTGTCTCATCATCATCACCACTCCTCCGAGCAGGCCGAAAGCAGCTGTGTGAACCACAGCAGTAGCACTGAAGATGGTGTAACCGTAGCTCTTCATATCGGACCCCCCAGCAGTGTAGGTGTTAGCACAAGCAATACTAGCAGCAGCAACGGTGCGCCGGTGGAGGGAGAGTACTGGATTCCCTCGCCTGCTCAAATCCTTGTCGGCCCAACTCAATTTTCTTGCACTGTGTGCAACAAGACCTTCAATCGATACAACAACATGCAGGTTGTAGATAAGATAGCTAGAGAATAAGCAATGACAACATGAATGCCATGACCAATCAAAATGATCATCAGTTTATTTATAGTTAAATGGTTTTAGCCTTTTAGGGGTTAATTTGCAACTGCACTACTCATTCTAATTCTTTGGTTGCTTTTGCTGGTTCTCTGTGTGTGTGTGTGTAGATGCATATGTGGGGGCATGGGTCGCAGTATCGAAAGGGTCCGGAGTCATTGAGGGGGACGAAGCCGGCATCGTCGATGCTGAGATTGCCGTGTTACTGCTGTGCGGAGGGATGTAAGAACAATATAGAGCACCCGAGGTCGAAGCCATTGAAGGACTTCAGGACGCTTCAGACGCATTACAAGAGGAAGCACGGGGCGAAGCCATTTGCGTGTCGTAAATGCGGCAAGGCATTTGCAGTACGGGGGGACTGGCGCACTCATGAGAAGAACTGCGGAAAGCTCTGGTTCTGCATTTGTGGCTCTGATTTCAAGCACAAGAGATCCCTCAAGGACCATATCCGTGCCTTCGGAGGCGGGCATGCACCCCACGGCGTAGAGTTTTGCGAGGATGAAGATGACGATGACAATGATGAAGATAATGCTAGTAATGGGGGCCATGGCTCTGTGTACTATTGACATTGATATTGATATGCATGGACTTGTGGGTTTTGTTAATTGCTGCAGCTCTTAACTAAGACTTTTTTCCTTTTTGTTAATATATGGAGTGCTAGAGAGAGAGAGAGAGTACAGAGGACTATAAGGAGTGCACAATGGAATGGAAGCCCATGGTTCTGTGTATTATTAACGGATGAAACTTTAGATCGATACTAATTAAGATTGATTAACGTCTGTAGATTTCTCTTTTACACACACAGAGGAGAGAGAGAGAGAGAGGTATCTATTGCCAAGCTAGGAAGATGAACAGCAGAATCTGAGACTGTTTTGTACTGGTATCTGTTGTTGTCATCTGCAGTCACTGAATTATTTACTTGACCACCTTCTAACATCTCTCTCTCTCACTCTCGTTCTGAGCTTCGACTACCACTACTACTAGCACTTTCATCGACCCTTTGTCAGAAGGCCAGTTACTCCTTTAGGTTACGTGGGACCACTGAATTCACTGTTTTTGGGGTTTCACCCAAAGAGCTGCCTCTTTCCTTTTCAGGCCAACAACAAACAGAAACTACGAAAGCGTCTGAGACATCTGTTCTTGCCCGTTAAGCAAATAATGTGCATGGGGAGCAAGACATTATCATCATCTCTCCTCCCTTGGATTGCCCCTCTCATACTTTGATCTTTTCTTCTATGTGCATGCATCTGTGACAACGCATGTGGCGATGATTATTACGTTATGATCACGAGGGTTCTTGATGATGTTGCGTGCTCTTCATTTCTTATTTTTATTTTAAAAGAAAAGAGAGAGAGAGAGAGAGAGAGATGGTTTATTGATGCAGTAAGAGTACGGGATCCAAGGCACGTTCATGCAGGTATATATGTTCTTTAACATTCTCGTCACCCTCCATGAAATCTGTTAATAATTAAACTATACAACCTAAATTTGTGGTGTGTGACTTTACTTACTTAAACCCAAATCTATACTTTTTTAATTACCTCTTTATGCAACTCTTTATTACTTATAATGAAGAGGAGGACTGAGTTAATATTTAGCTAGGGCATCTCCTCATCAACCCACTCATATGGAGACACGTGGAAGGGTGCTCACGGGCAACTGGCCAAAAGTTCATTATTCCTTATTTGTTGATACTACCGGCCCCCTCTCATGTATAGGCATGTTTCCCCTCTGTAGCACAGGTTGTAGGGCTGTAAAAATGGCATCCGGCCCCATCAAACTTATTAATTAGATGAGTCATATTTGTTTATTTTATAAATGATGTGAATATTGGAGAAAATATATGATGCCGGAAGGATATGATACCGGAAAGGTTTTGACCAATTATATCCCATGAATTTTGATGAAAACCCACCTGATTAATTACTATTTTCATGATGATGCTTGATTGGTTGTAAGTTTTTCTAGTATCATAGTGGAACCCAATATGAATTCACCCAAATGAGAATGTTTAGGGTTCCTTCTATTTCAATTTCACTTGACAAAGCCTGATGGATCACATAAAATAAACAAATAGTGCTTATTATCAATATATAAGCTCTGATTTCTTTTATAAATGGAGTAGTACTTATTAGTAAGGTTGGATCGGACTTTGTACAAATGTTCATTAAATTCATGGATATTCAATTCTCATAGAAGTTATTAATTTCAAGTCATTTTATTCATGATTTACAATAAAGTCATTTTTATTCCATTTTATTAATAATATATAATATAGAAAATTCCTGATTAGTACACTGTACTTTGGGTCTAGTGCCACTTTGGTCTCTAAACTTTAAAATGCGACAATTCAGTACTTGAACTTTCAAAACATGACAATCCAGTACGTATTGTTAATTGGCTGTTAACCGGCCGTTAAGTGGCATTTGAAAAAGACACAAATGCCCTTCAAGTGTCATCTAATTTTCTTTATCAACCACCCAAACATTGACAAAAAAAAAATAATAGTTTCAGATCTTTGCCTCTTATATTCAAGAAAGTTGGGGTCACCAGAATGTCCACTCAAACATGACCCCAACTTTCTTAAATGGACAATGTAAGGATTTGGGATTGTTAATTTTTGTCAATGTTTAGATGGTTGATAAAGAAAATTAAATAACACTTGAAGGGAATTTGTGTCTTTTTCAAATGTCACTTAACAGCTGATTAACAGCTAGTTAACGGTAAATACTGGATTGTCACATTTTAAAAATTTGGGTACTGAATTGTCGCATTTTAAAGTTTGGGGACCAAAGTGACACTAGACCCAAAGTACAAGGTACTAATCAGGAATTTTCCCTATATAATATTATGATAACTTTTGGTTTGATCGTTAATGATATTCAATATTTGAATTTGATCCAAATCTGATATGAATCTGAACGGATAAGACTACTAATAAATCAAAACTAGGCATATCCGATTCATTTGCAGCCGTTTTCCAAAAAAGAAAAATCATTTGCAGCTCTATTTAGTAGGTTGCCAAACTTTTGGAAACTCAACTAATGTTCTGTTATTGATCTGGTTTAATGGGCACAATTCAGATAAAAAAAATTAAAGAAATATGTTCTAGAAAAAATGTTATTTTCCAAAATCTCAAAGAAATGAGTAATATTGAGGAGGATTGCATTAAATATCAAAGAATTTATTTGGAGCAGACCACTGTTCTGATGTGCATGATTAGGCAACTTAGTTACTGGCTACAAAAGTAGTAAATTGTCTTGTATAAATAAGATATTTACTAGCTACAATAGAACAACCATCATATAATGTAGAATGCTGCACTAGGCACTTAATGATAAGGCAAAATCAGTGTAGAAGAAATATATGGACCTATTGGATTAGGTTTTGCTCATCAAATTTTATACATGGAACGGTATTTAGTTTTCACAGTGACAGAGAGAGTGAAAAGCATAAGTATAATTACTGTTATAGAATTCATGAATTAACTATAGGGAATCACCCAATCCAACTTACATCAATCCAATTCTAAGTCAGATTACCCACTAGTTATATTCAATTCATCAGGTTCAGAGTTGGTTCTGAACCCATATCAGCCTATTTAGTGAACTCTTATAAGTCAGAAGCAGATTATTCAACTTATTTTGAAGATCCTTTGTTTTAGTTTTATATTCTATGCTATTTTAATATTGTTTGTTATTATTTATATATTTATTCTTTTGTGGTAATTTCATCTGTTTTTTATTTATCTGTGCGTTGACTTATGAGTTGATCATCAGTTGGTTGAACAACTAATCTACTCATCGACAGCTTTGTTAAGTTAATCAAGTTTTTGAAGCTTTTAACAGCATCAAGATGGAAAAGCAAGTGAAGGAACAAAGTGTTTAACTGCAATTTCCATACACAAACGAAGTTATAATTGAATCATTTCTACCCATTACAATAATGTATACTAGTATGTAGAGCAGGTTTTAGATGAATGAAAAATGAATAAAGAGGTGTTGACTTTAAAACCTTAAAAGCATGGTCCAGGAAGGAAGAAGAGAACCCCTCTCTCTCTCTCTCTTGATGCGTGGAAGACAGTAGTCCTAGCTAGGGCCCTATCATAAATAATATAGGGCATTGTGTATTATTGGTACACACATAAGAAAAAGTTCAGAATGTAATTACCCTTTTTTTTTTCTTTTTTTTCTTTATTCTTTTTCCTAGTTAGGTTAAGCAAGCTAGCCCAACAGAAATTTTTAGCGAATTCATCAGCTAATAACCCTGGGTATATACACAACCTAGCTTTGCATCCTCAATATTCATTATATTAATTAAAACAGAAAATATATGCGTTTGGCCCTAATCACTAATGATCCTACTCCTACATAAACAAGTTGGTTCATTATGAATTAATTTCTTTTTCTTATTTAGCCTAATATATTAAACTACTTATCATAGATGTTAATAAATGGAAAATTTAATTACTTGTAGCGTACAAAACACCCCTAGATAATATTCTCATGTACCTAAGATCTAAGCTAGTGAGCTTCGTCATCACACTCTTTTAAAGACAGCAGGTTATTCTCTGCTCCAGTTATGATGTTGGAATGTTGATTTGTAAATAAAAGCAACTGTTAAAACAAAATTTCCCTTCATCCTTAAGTACCAAGCTTTTCTAGGCCTTTTTTAGCTTAAACCACTAAACAACTAACCCATTTGGCCAGGAGAACTCAAGGCTGTGTTTGGTTTCCCTTCATTTCCCTACCTTTTCTTTCATTTCCCTTCATCTCTCTCTCCCCACCCAAATTATTTAAATTATTTTATTTCTCGAAACTTCTTCCAGTATTTTTTTTCTCTTCTTTCTAGCTGTTACAGGCTAACCTTCAGACTAAGCAAACCTGCCCCTCTTCTCAGTACGAGAGAGAGAGAGAGAGAGAGAGAGAAGCATATTACGAAGGGTACTCATCAGAAAAACAGACAGTTGCTTTGAGCGTACGTATTTGCAGTTAATTGACACAGCCATAACCATTTGATATATAGAGGGAACTGGGGGCTATTAACAACTTCTTCCAGGACATCCTCACAAGGCGTGGCTCTAGCTCTCTCATTCAGCTCAGTCAAAAGTGATCTATTATTTCCTACAGAAAGGAATCTTTATTGGCAGAAAAAGAAGGATGGACGACTAGCTTTAGAGCAATTAATGTTCCATTCTCGTCCGATCCGTAATTGCAGCAGCTGTGATTTCCCTTCACAAATAATTCATTGGGGGGGGGGGGGGCGTCTTCAACCGACACTTTGACAAAATTGCAGAACTCATGAGTAGGAGAGAGAGAGAGAGACGAAGGAAGAAGAAGATGTAGAGGAAGTTATAATTTGCATGCTAATTAAACCACAACTACAAGTAATTCAGTTCAGCGAAACCTCAGCAGATAACTATTTCTCCCTTCTGAGTTTCTCACTAATCGTTTCTGCTCCTACTCTTCCACGGAAACACATGCAGGAGCCTAGCTCCAATCAACTTCGTAATTGGGAATAGCATGATGGATGCCTTATCCATCCTTATTCCAAAAAACAAATCATCGTGGGTAGGTGTCAAGTAGTATCAGAGTCTACACACAAGATATATTCCTACAACGTTAACGATGTGATTGGTTACTGTAACAATTGACAAGACTTGTATCAGTAGTCAAACACTCCTCCAGTTAGAACTCAATGAGTCAATTCCAAAGTCCACAGGGCCTTCACATATATATGATGACGTAGTAATTCTATCCCTAGTGCTTTACTATAAGATTTTCTACTGTGGGATTCATTCGGTTCTTTTTTCTTTATTTATTGGGAGATGACTGT